AWMGYWTTTMGSCKAAKRMWATAGAATAGACTTTTTTTTTCTTTTTCAGGGAGCTAAACCAGGTGAAGGTGGAGAGTTGCCAGGATACAAGGTATGAATGACTATATTTGCTTTATTATAACTTGCTGATAAATATTAGCCATGAGCTGGACAAAATGAAGGTCAGTGTGACAAAAAGGTTGTGAATACCTTGTCAGATCAAAATAGGTGCGTAACTAATTTTTGAGACAAAAAAAGGGGTTAAATTGGGATGGTCACCAGGGTAAATCAGCCAGAGAAGCAAGATGGAAGCACACTACCCCACCCACCTGGACTCAAGGCTTGGATCTGCCTGATACTATGCACTCAAATCTCCTGACTGAAGAAATAACCAAATTTAAGTAGAGGCGTATTAGTCTGACTCTTTCACTAAAGAAGTGTTTTTTTGTAAAAAGAATTTTCACATCATCATCTATATGCACAGATTAACTGTGTGAGGTGTTAAGCATATTGTGAATTATGTCTTGACAGGTCTCTAAGCATATTGCTAAGACTCGCAAGTCTGTTCCTGGAGTAGGTTTGATTAGCCCTCCACCCCACCATGATATCTACTCTATTGAAGATTTGGCAGAGGTTAGTTTACTTTGAGACACAGTCATTTTCTTCTTGTCTGTTTGTTTTTTTATTATTCAAATGCTTCATGTTTCTTATCAAAGAATTCTTTTGAAAACATTTCTTTCCATTGTTTTGTAGCTTATTTACAACATAAAGTGCTCCAACCCTCATGCTAGAGTCAGTGTGAAACTGGTCTCTGAAGTCGGCGTAGGTGTTATTGCTGCTGGAGTTGCAAAGGTTTGTGAGCTCTTAAAAAACTGATCTTTTCAAAATCCTGTGTATGGTCTTTGCTTTTTGTTTGAAGTTCCAGCTGTGGCGAGTTTAACCATAGGTTTGAAGATATTCCACTTAAGGTGTACAGTGTCTCTTCACCTGGAAATATTAATGAATTTCTAATGTAGGAAGTTTGTATGGAGATGATACGTTTTCTTCTCTTTTAGTAATCAAAGGGTTAAGTTAACCTGTTTAATTTCCCCAGGGCCACTCTGAACACATTGTTATTTCTGGTCACGACGGTGGGACTGGGGCAAGCACATGGTCAGGCATCAAGCATGCTGGGTTGCCTTGGGAACTAGGCCTTTCTGAAACCCATCAAACTCTTGTGCTGAACAATCTGCGCCGAAGAGTCATCCTTCAAGTTGACGGGCAGCTCAGGACTGGGCGTGATGTGGTAGTGGGTGCTCTGTTGGGTGCTGATGAGTTTGGATTTTCTACTGCTCCACTCATTGCTATGGGTTGTACCATGATGAGGAAGTGCCACTTGAATACATGTCCAGTTGGAATTGCTACACAGGTAGTTGCACAACTGCTCTAGTTACACAAAAAAGTATAGTCTGAGTCAGAAACGATGTGATGAGCACAGAATTGTGCTTTCCTAGTGATACCAACGAGGCAAAAAAAGGACCCAACCAGATGTGCTCCACGAGACGAGCTGGACTATTTCGTTGCCATGGCACCCGATTGGATCCAGAACTCGCTGATGCGTGAGGATTTTTTAAGCCATCTTTGGTGTTCCATTTTGATAATTGATTTGCCAATAAGATCACCTCTGGCTGGATTTAACCATAGCTGTTCTGTCAGCATCTACAACTAGCGAGATCTACTAGTTTGCGGGAATTTTTGTTTTCAATACTTTCTTTCAAATTTTTGATCAGAGGAAACGCAAGGTATGAATAAGAAGTGAAGAATAGTTATGTGATTGTAATGAAGGAACTTAAATTTATTACAGGACCCTGTACTGAGGAAAAAGTTTGCAGGCAAACCGGAGCATGTTATCAACTTCTTTTTCATGTTGGCCGAAGAGGTGATGAGAAAATGATCTCTGTTTGTGATACACTTGTTACTTCCTGTTTGAAGAATATTTCTATTCTTATCTTGATTCGTGAAGAGTAATTGAGAACATTTCTCCTTTGGTACCTGTTAGAACCTCTGTTTAAATCTATTTAAAAGGTATGTAAAGTAAAGTGCTTAGTTAACGGCTGGTGTAAGGTTTTGAGCCTTCGTCAACATTCTGTCTTTAGGTCCGTGAGTATATGGCGAAGATGGGCTTCCGAAAATTGAGCGAGATGGTTGGGCGATGTGATTTTCTTGAGCCCGCAAACCCTCTCAAGGAAAAAGTCAAGGTACGTTTTGCGGCAGTGCTGCTATTTCTATTTTCATACAAAAAAAAAAAAAGTGATTCAACTTAGAAAATCCGAACGCAGTGAAACTCGTTTCGACCTCGGACATGAGTAATTTCAAGAGATAAATAACCTTTTGGGATTATGAATTTGAAACTTCTGGCCGAGAAAGCTGAGAGTCTTTTTGCTCCTACTCATAGTTCGTTTTGTCGCGTTGACGTAACTCATATTTCTCCCCGGTCAATACAAGACGGGAGGAGGGGGGGGGGGCGGCGGTTATTCGAGGGGGGTGCTTGTTTGAAATTATGGCCTAGAAGGGAGCGCCTATTCGGGGGTGGGTGCCTATTAGAGCGTGAGCGCTTACTCGAGGAAATACGGTGTATTTGGCATTAGATTGGTGTTTATTAACTTTGGTCAGACATTGGTAAAAAAACATGTGCGCTTCCTTCTATACTAATCAGATGCTAAATTAAAACCACTTGCCTCTCGGTTTCTCCGCTTCCCAATGTTTAAGGCCATGTATGTGTCATTGAGTACATATCTTTGCATTGATTGACTATTGTGATTACTTTAAGTTTGGTTTTTACGGAATTCACTTGAGAAGCGCGCACAGATTCAGCAGGAAGAGATTGTAGTTTTATTTTCCGTAATCATCTTGTTTCTTTTCCACAGTTGTTAGACTTTAGTGCCATCCTTACGCTCGGTAATGAGTTGAACCCTGGAGATCACCTGGGAGGAAGTGAGCCACAAAATCATAAACTGGAGCAGCGAAAGGTAAACATTGGACGCGAACCAAGAGGACTGAGTCGAGTACTTGAAGTCGACCTTTTATCCCAAAACAGTTGGATTCTTCTGATTCGGCACAATTGCTTTAACCAAGTCCAGTGTAGTGTCAAGTTTGCAGTTTACACTTCAACGTCAAAGAATTATTAGATTTTAAGCTTCTTAGACCTTCTTACTTAGGTATTTTACTGCCGGAATAAGAAAATATTTGAGAGTTGTAAGATTGTAATTGATTGCTTTTTGCTTGAACTTGTTGAAGAGACGCACTTTCAGGTTTGATGTGCCACTCTTTTATTCACTTCACAGGACAACCAGCTCATTGAGGCTGCGAAAGACATTCTGAATGGGGCCTCAAAACATTTACGTCTTGAGGTTCCCGTGATGAACAAGGACCGAGCTTTTGGAACCACTCTCAGTTACCACATTGCAAAGTGAGTAATCAGCTCAAAAGTGATATCACTCCCCTCACCTGAACAGCGCTAGTTAACCACCAAAAACTGAGGTGTTATCACCAGGGATATTTATATCTTCACGGTGATGAGTTACCGACAATAATGTCCGAAGCCCTTTTCTAAACTTTCATCTTGTCTTTCTAGTAAACATGTGGTTGCTTGCCGGCTTTGTCTCGACCAAGGGTGCACTGAAAGTCGCAAAGCGTCATAGTGTCTTTTAAATCGGTCTCTAAGCTCCCTTTTTTTTTCTTTTTATCCTCGAACGATTATCGCGTAAATGTTTTTTTTTTACACATGCGTCATCCGTTACCACACTCACTCTAACAGTAACTCTCCCGTGATAAAACGAAAATAATTCAAAGACTGGAAAATTATAGACGAACGATCGACGTTTCGGCGTAACCCTCCAGTCTTCACCATATGTACACACCCATAATTCCCCAATTTGGACCGAGGAAGGCAAGTGCTCGAAATTTCAGCTTTCTGAAACTGGCTTTGGCCTTTCATCGACATTCATCAACTCGACATTTATCAACTGATGATCAGCTTGACTGTCATTAGACTGCCCACATAAATACTGATTAGTTCCACCGAGTTGGTTAGACCTGAGAAATGTATCCGCGCAACTTAGTGCGAATAAAGAGTTTCCTTTTCCTTTTTCCTTTCCTTTACTTTTAAGCTTGAAGCCTTTTCTATGTTGCCTGTTATCTTATAACAATATTACCTGCTTTCGTGGTTTTGTGGAGGAAATGAATTGAGAAGTAAACTTTTTGTTAGGAAATTTGGCGAGAAAGGTCTTCCTGATGGCACGATACACATCAAAACCCAAGGCTCAGCAGGTAAGTAAGTAATGTGCACTTGATCTCTTTGTAAAGCAGCCATTGCTTTTGGATTCTTCGATTGGGAACCATAAAACCACATTAAACCCAAAATATCTACGAAGCCTTATCAAATTAAAATAAAATAGATCATTACGCGTTGAAATGTCCGTATTAGAGATGTTCGTTTGTTTCACGGTACCAGACGAGTAGTTATGATTTCAGCGTAGTCTGTTTTAATTTTTTTAGGTCAGAGTTTTGGTGCTTTCCTCTCTCCTGGTGTAACACTGGAACACGAGGGTGATTCAAATGACTATGTTGGCAAGGTAATTATGTACTTAAAATCTTTACCTTAGACGTCCTTCAGAAATTTTCTAAATGATGCTGTACATATAATCCAAGAGCTTGACTTACTTGTTGCACTCAAGGTTTTCTCCATGCCCTCTTTCGAATACTCTGAATGATTTTGCGATTTATCAAACTGCAATAAATTCGCTCCTAGGGTTTAGCTGGAGGCAAGATTATAGTTTATCCAAGCAGCAAACGTCCTGGAAACTTCAAAGCCGAAGAAAACATTATTGTGGGAAACGTTTGCTTCTACGGTGCCACTGCCGGAAAGGTAAAGTACCTATCGTAAACTTCGAGACTTGTATTACAATTGATTCATTTAATTCATTCGTCCTAATTTTCAACAAAAATGACCTCGTATCGTAAACCTACTGACTTCGTAAACTTCGTCTTCGGAAAGTAAACTTAACCAACATTTTGTGGACCAAATGGGTTGTTTTAAGGTATATATTTTTTATTTTTTTATTTAGGCCTTTATAAGAGGAATTGCTGCCGAACGATTTTGTGTCCGGAATTCTGGAGTGACAGCTGTTGTAGAGGTGAGTTGAGTTCAGTTCTGTAATTAATTTCCTTGTTTAATTTCATTTTTTTGGTTCTGCTTTATCTTATCCATTATTAGTTTCACCATTGACTAGCTTTTCTTGAAGTTCGTTCCTTACTTAACATGTAACTGAACCTTGACATGCTTTAAAAGCAGAAAGTTTAGAATATTACAAAAAACGAACGATATCTCATCATCTTATAAGGGCGTTGGTGATCATGGCTGTGAGTACATGACTGGAGGTGTTGCGGTTGTTCTTGGTGACACTGGTCGAAACTTTGCCGCTGGAATGTCTGGAGGAATTGCCTTTGTACTTGACAGGTAAAATGAGATTTGAAAATTTATCTTGCGTGGTAGGCACTCAGTAAGAAGGTGATAAACGTGCGTGGGAGAGCAGACACACGTGCGCGTAGTTTATCGCTCGCGCGTGTTGGTCTTCATCACTCTTGGCTGCTTAAAATTGAGTGCCCGCTACGCAGTCATATCAGCCACAATGAATTTATTCTAACTTCTTGAATTTAGAGGAAGAAGGTCTTTACCACATTGTGTAACCAGGAGATCGTGGACTTAGAGCCTGTTGCAGGAGCAGATGCAGAACTGGTCAGGGGACTGGTGCGAGAGCATCATCAGCTGACCGGTTCACTCGTGGCCGAACGTCTTCTGGAAGAATGGGAAAGCTCGTTGAAGATGTTTGTGAAGGTATAGTGTCGTGAAGTATAACGGAAAAACCAAAGAAATCAGAAGGCAAATCAGAAAAAAGTGAAATATGATAAAGAGCCAATGAGAAATCGAAGAAACAAACAGGAGCAAAGTACACAATTGGTTTAATTCTTGCATTCGATGGCGGGATTGCGCCAGTTTTCTGGACCAATTAGAGAACTAAGGGGAAACAAATCTAACTCGATCCACAAGTACTTTCGATAATCGGGTGAGAAGTTACTCCTAGCTGCGTAGTTTAACAAGGACGTCTACCATCTGTTTCATAGAGTATCGCAGTTCGTATCGCTGGTGGTTAATGTTGTTTTCTTTTTTTCGTTGACGGTGATAGGTGATGCCTCGTGACTATAAAAGAGCTCTGGAACAATTTAAAGAAGAGGAGGAAGCTGAGGTATCATTAAATTCTTGTTTATTGCTCGAGAGCTCTCTCCTCCGTAGATGCTTTAAGATAGGTATCCGCTGAACACAGTGAACAGAGGTATAAATCGAACCAAAGATCACTTAGTTTGATGTCACTTGCAATTTCTTTTTAAGGTGACTCTGCGGGGGAAAGAGTATTTCTATCGCCAGGCAACTCAATCATCATATCTCTCAGAGTGCAGCGAAATTAAAGTTGCCCCCTCCAGTGACCTTTTAAGTATGAAAAAGCAACAGAAATATACTAATTTCGTGTGCAGTCGCTATTTTTTAGTTTACCCGACGCAAAGTTTCGTTCGAAATGGTCTCGATAATATTTTGTTTTCAAAGAAGTGGAGAGGACGGAGGCGAGTTGACAAGTGTAGGCGAAGTGACTGTTACCTGCAGAGGAAGTCAACAAACCGTTAAAGACATGTTGATCTTGAGCCCATTTTTTTTCTGCTGTGCTGGTGATACCGAGAGTCTGTAGGAGAACTTCAGTGATAGCGAGATCATAGCAAAATGAACAGTGCTATCAAATCTTCCCAGTGACTGAAAAAAGATCCTTATAATTTTTATCCCTGATAAATGTTTTGAGGATTTGCTAATAAACCGCACATAAGGAGGTTGGAAAATTTTGAAGCCGAAACGTAGATGGCGTAGTGCAGTGAAAACATATCGCCGACGTGAAGACGTCGTATCGTTTGTTGTGGCACTTGGTAAAGTAACTTCTTAGGACCGTAAACCGCGAACAACGGGGAAGAAAATAAAAATGACGCGAGTTCTCTCTCTTTCGTATTCCTCTCCTCCCTTATGTGGCCCTTGTTTTTAGCTCAGGGACATCTGAAAACGTGGCACGTGATTTTGAAACTGCTTTTTCCTTGGCAGAAACTCAAAAACGAAAACCGCACGGAAGAGAATGGCGAGAACGCAACTGGAGAGATGACAAACGGAGAAAAAACAAATGGAGAAAAAACAAAAGGAGAAAAGACAAATGGAGAAAAGACAAACGGGGAAAAAATGAATGACGAAATGTCAAACGGAGTTACACAGGAAGAGTCACCTCCCCCAGTGCAAAAATCAGCGGAACAGAATTTGGCTGACATAGAAGAAGCCATCCCAAATACAACCAATGACCAGATAATTATCGACAGAGTGTTGGACAAGACCAGGTAAAGAAGTATATCTCGGTTCAAAGGGCGGCGGAAGAAGGTCTCTGTGCAGTTGTTCAAGGTTGATGAAGTGCTTCCTTTGTGTTGCTTTGTTTTTCAATTTTTCAGTATTGCTGATTGCTGATGGAAAAACTTTAAAATGGGTTTTGAAAGTTATTCCTAGCTGCACTGTTTTTGTTGCGCTTCAATCTGTGATTGGTTTTGAAAACTCTCGCTACCCTCTCAACTAATCAGATGCAAAACTAGAACCAACCCAGCGTCCTGGTCACGCGCGTATTCTCGCGCGTTGGGCATTGTGCTTGTTTTTACATCTAGTTCTTATCTGCTCCTAGTGACATTTTCCTTTGTTACGATTGGTCTTTGTATAAACTCTTTCATTCCCAAGGTGGTATTCGTAATTCTCCTTAATGTCTGCTATACAATTGTTATGATGTTAGTTAGGAGAGTTTGGTATTGGCTCAACTGATAATCCCCTAATTGATGGTGTTTTGTATTCTCATCACTTGTCTTCTTGATATTGCATTGTTATTGTAAGGAGAAATTCTATCTTGGTCACTCATGAGAGTTTGAGGGTTAAAAAACGCCCTAACAGCGTAATCTGTACTCAGTTTGGAAAGTTCCCTCTTTGAGTAAATCGCAGATGGTTTCAAGTCATTGTCTCATTAATCTTAAATAGTCCTAAACTGTAGCCTTTTCACGTAAGCATTTGCTTTCAAAGCAGATTTTCGTCTCACTTGGTAGTTTTGGCAAACGATAACATTTTATTGTTTCTATTTGGTGACAGAGGGTTCGTGAAATACTCCAGAAGCAAGGTGAAGTACCGCTCCCCTAAACAGCGAATGAAGGATTGGGATGAGATATACTACAACAAAGGAAAATCGGAACTAAAAGTTCAAGCTGCCAGGTAAGGGCGTCAACCAAAATGTTTCAGCGCCGAATTGCCAAGCTAAAAGACCCTTTTCTGGGCGATAGAAAAACCCCCCCAGTCTCATCACGTTCCAACGAGTTCTTTCGTCACTTGACGCAGACATGGTGGGTTGAAGTTTTACATACGTCTTGAAAACGTGTATCCTTCAACTTTTGATGGAGGTGACCAACTAACTCGTAGATTCGTTGTTTCCCTTCAATTGATAGGTGTATGGAGTGTGGCGTGCCTTTTTGTCAGTCTCATACGGGGTGTCCTTTAGGAAACATTATCCCAAGATGGAATGACTTGGTGTTCCAGGTAAGGTTCCATTATTGATGACATTCTCCTACTGCACGAGTTAGTGTGTAGTTGGGATATGATCTTGAAAGTACTCAGATTTGTTGCACAATTTACTGTTGTTATAAATTTCAATTGATCATTTGGTTTTTCAGGACAAATGGAAGGACGCTCTAGACCGACTTTTGCTCACCAACAACTTTCCAGAATTCACTGGAAGGGTCTGCCCAGCACCTTGCGAGGTGAATATCAGAAAAACCAGTGTGAAGAGAGTTCATTTTGCTTGCGATTTTCCGATTGTTTGCGTACAAATAGTCAGAGTGTCGAGATAACGTTTTCTCCCCTTAAATGCTCCAGGGCGCTTGTGTACTGGGAATCAATGCTGAGCCGGTGACAATCAAGAAAATAGAGTGCACTATCATCGACTATGGATTTGAACAAGGATGGATTACACCACAGGTACATCAGCATTTAAGTGGTCTCCCTTTAAAAGAGCTGTGTACAAAAGGTCGTAGAGAAGACTTAAAGGACTTGCAAATGTGACATATGTCCGTTAATTCTTTACACCTTTACACCGAATTTGCATATTCTACACGCTGTTCACTGTGCATATCGTAGTGTGCTGACAAGGAGAATTTGTTTAACATTCAAGAGCTTGTTTAGTTGGTGATCATTTCCTTTATTCTCGTGACTTCAATGTGTGATTCAGGGGGTGATATTGTAAGGAGAAATTAGATGCTGGTCACTCTTAGGAGTCATAGGGGCCAAAGGGTTAATATGCGTTCATTTTAACCCCTGGAACAACCCATTCGAAGATTCAAACTTTCGGAGTTGCTTTCTTTAGAGTCCAAACGATTCTCACTGTGTTTTGGTTGTAAATTTTCTGACATGTTCCCTATTCTTGCCTGCAGATTCCAGCCCATCGAACTGGGAAGAAGATCGCTATTGTAGGAAGTGGACCTTCAGGATTTGCAGCCGCAGCGCAACTAAACAAGGTGAGGAAACATTGGTACTGTTATGCATTAGCCGAGGCATCGACTCATGAAGCTGTTTAGGTTGTCACTAAGCACTCTTGCTGGGTGAGGAATTCATCTTGCAACACAAATCGCACTCTTGATGAATTCTTTTTTAAAATTAGCAAGCAGGTCTTTGTGCCGTTCATTACCACGTTTTACTCTCTCTCTCTCTCTCTCTCTAGGCTGGTCACTGGGTAACAGTTTACGAGAGGAATGACAGGTGTGGAGGTCTGTTGATGTATGGTGTACCACCCATGAAGCTAAGCAAGAAGGTCAGTAAAATTGTATTCCTCAAAGTCTTTTTTCTTTTTTTTAAGGAAAGGAAGAAGAATTCATTTTCAGTGTCTCAGGAAATCTTCCTCCTTGGCAGATTTTGAATAAAACCCTAACTTACGATCGGGTGTTCTTTTTTGGGGAGCGCGATGGTACAGCAGCGATCGTTGAATCTTGGCCTACTATTCTCTTACGCTCCCCCTACCCCCACCCCCACCCCTTCCTCGCGAATAAGAACGCCCAGTCGCAGGTTAATAATACCCATCATGTGGAAGACGTTTTAAGAACGTCTGGCTTCCCTGATTTCAAGCGCAAGATTCTACAGTATGACTCTTTTTCATAGTTAAATTTTCGAATGTTACAATTTTACATTTTACATTTTACATTTTACATTTTAGTAGTATTTAGAATTACACTTGTAGCTCGAAGATACTAGCTTATCTTTAGGTACTCTAAATTCGAGGTTAGATAAAGTATATGTATGTATGTATGTATGTACGTACGTACGTACGTACGTGTCGGAATGATAAATACTTAGATTTAATGTTCTGAGTGCGAAACATGGTTTGTGTTTATGGATAGAGTGCCTCTCCCTAACAGTAATAAATGGCCACTGGAGAACTGTTCGGGATACAAACCGGCAAGCTGGAGAGGGGTTAATCTGTTACGGGCCGGCGTCCCTTCTAGGAAAAGTAGCAGTGCTCTAAACGTTGTCTCGTACTGTGAGAATTGGGATGATTTCCCAACTGATTAGCCTCGGCTTTTAAACGTTTCCCCTGCACTTACTGTTTCTAGTTTATAAATCATCGTGCGACCGCGAATTTTAGTCCTTGTAACTTATCTGATTTCAGTGGTTTTTCTTGGGAGTAATGGAAAGAGTGAGTGGCAAGAAGTGTCAGGTTATGAAGTTATTCAACTTAGTTTAAGTAAGAATGTTTGTCTCAACAGATAGTACAACGTCGCCTGGACCTCATGGCGGCTGAAGGAGTCAAGTTCGTTAATAATGTCGAGATTGGAAAGAACATGGATGCACAACAACTGTTGCAAGAAAATGATGCTGTACTGCTGACTGTGGGCTCAACGTGTCCACGTGACATTCCACTCCCAGGTAAGCTAAGTAATGTTTTGAAGCGCATCCAAGCACGAAGTGTCTAATGGGCCTTGATTGTTTTCCCCTTTTTAGGGCGTGATTTGGAAGGAATCCATTTTGCTCTGCAGTTCTTGGAAACATGCCAGAAGAGGCTCATGGGTAGGTTGTTTACTGAAGACTTGTCAGATGCTCTTCAATGCGTTGCATTTTCCTTTTTTTCCCGTTGTATGGAAATGTAATCAAACACTTCCCATCCTATTTGACCAACTGGGACCCAAAGAAAAGAGATACCAAATTAACAACCTCACTCAAAAATGAAAATAAGCCAGTCAGTCAATGATTCGGTCTGTCAGTCGGTCAGCAAGTAAGTCAGTGAGTGAGGTAGTGAGTCAGTCATTCACTTATTCAGCTAGTCAGGCAAACAGGTAGTCAGTCAATCTGTGGGCGAGTAAGTGAGTCAGTCATTCAATCAGTCGGTCGGTCAGTTAGTCAGTCAGTCGGTCAGTTAGTCAGTCAGTCGGTCAGTTAGTCAGTCAGTCAATCATTCATTCGCTGATACATCCAGTCAGGTCGTCAGTCAGTCAGTGGGCGAGTGAGTGAGTGAGTGAGTGAGTGAGTGAGTGAGTCAGTGAGTCAGTCAGGTAGTTAGTCAATGGGTTAGCGAGTTGACAGAGCGAATGAGTGAGGGATTGAGTCGGTCGTTATGTCACTCAGCCAGTCAGGTCGTCAGTACGTCAGTTAGTTTGGCAGAGAAAGAGTTACTGAGTCAGTCAGTCAGACAAGACATTCCTTAATCAGTATTTCTTGTAGCTTATTGGCTTGTCTGCGTTTGCTCTTGTTCCTGCAGGCAACTATAATCTGCCTTCCCTTGATGCCACTGGACTAGATGTTGTTATTATCGGCGGAGGTGACACTGGGGTAGATTGCATTGGAACTTCGCTCAGACAGGTACACGCATACATACAATAACATTATTTGTCAAAGATGGCGGAAGGAGAGGTCTGCTGGGATCGCTATATTTAGAGTTCTGATGATGTCAACTGCAAGTAACACTTCGCCTGAATATTTTCCTTTTGCTCGACAGCATGCCAAGAGCATCACAAATTTCGAAGTGTTGGGCCAACCTCCAAAGAGTAGAACCTCTACCAACCCATGGCCTCTCTGGCCACGAGTTTTTAGAGTGGAATATGGCCACGAAGAGGTAGGGTCTCTGTAATAGAGACTCAGTTGTTGGAATGATGCAACTGAATACGACTGCTCCTATGAAGAATTCACCTTGTCATCATATCATGCGCTTTTAAGGGAAGGATAGTTTGACTTACACCCGGGGGTTTACCCTCCTGTATTAATGAAGGAGGTGCCCATCGAATCGTTGAAGGGGTTTAAAATTTGCGTTTCGGTGCTGCCTAGATTTTCAAAACCTAAAGTGACCGCCGCTATAGTTGTCGGAGTATCTTGGAGAGGCCTTCCAAAGTTATGTAACTGAAAAAAAGCGGCAACTTATTTTTTTTAGCAGGCAAATATAAACATTTTCACCAGTGCTAGTTTAGTTTTAGTTTTACAGTTACTGAAAGGGAGGTGGTAAATGAAAAGGGTACGCCCACCAAACGGTTTGTTGGTGCCCCGTTTATTTTAACAGGAAACCACGTCGTTCCCTAATGTAGCCACTAAGGAATCCGCCTCAGTGATCGGTGGAATAATTAAGGAAGTTGTCAGTTTGTGAATCGATGTCATCAATATCTAAGCTGCTCGCGTACCTTTTTTTTTTTAGGCCTCTCTCAAATATGGTGCAGATCCTCGTGTCTTCAGTATCATGAGCAAGGTAAACACAGAATATTGATTTCTTCCTTTTTTGTAATAAAGTTAATTGATTTTGATCATATTTTCTTCTCACAATCAAATTGCGCGTCTCTTTGCTTCCAGGAATTCATGGGATACGAGAAAGGCCACGTTAAGGGAATTAAAACAGTTCAGATCAAGTGGGTCCAGGTACGTTCTACTTCAAATTGATATCAAGTAATGTTTGATTACAGGCGCACAATGTGCGTGAAAACACGCGCGATATCTCGGTCTTTGAGTGAGACACAATTGAGGCTTTGTCTACACTACACTGGACAGCTTATCATGTCGTCATGAAAAATACTCCCGCCCGGTGTGAACAGAAACGGCTGCGAACTGAAACAAGTCGTTCATTCACACAGTCCAACAGATCGTATCGGAACGGTTAGCGGAAGAGGGTTTGGTGCTGAAAGTGCTATTTACTACGTACAGCTATTTATTTACGCGCATTTTCATTATGGCGGTTTCTAAGGGGTTTTCGTGGGCGGACGATGAATTTGATGTTCTGCGTTGTTAGCTCGTCTACAAGTCTAAATGTGAGTACGAAGGTCCGGGTTGGAAGGGACAAGAGCAAAGTACGAGAAGATAAAAGAACTTCTTTTCGAACGATATGCAAGTGACAGCACAGACGAATAATTTCCCCGTAATGGTAAAACCTAATTTATCACTAAAGAAAGAGTATCAGCAAAGCTGAAGAAGATTAGAACCGATAAGAAATTCAGAAGAGCGCCTGAGATAATGGAAATCCAGATAAACACCCTATCCGATATGGTTTTCGTGCTGGTCCAAGAGTTATCCTCTAAAGGGTAGACATAGGCTGAAACTATGTATTGCTTTCTTTAATGTAATTCAATCAACTAAAAAGCTCTTGCTGTAGCTTTTGATAAACGCTGCAGACAAGAAAGCTAAAGCAGGTACTAGGGTAAAGAGCTCTTAACCTCTACTTCTGAAATACTTTTCTGTGCTTAAACTCTTGAATACCTGCCACACCCACTGAGCACTGTTTAAGGATACCATTCACTTCGAGTGTTAATAATACCTAAAGTAAGTAACAGAACACGTGCCTCTTTTTCACTATCATCAGGATGCTACTGGAAGGTGGATAATGGAGGAAATACCTAATTCAGAAAAAGTGTTCCCGGCGGATAAAGTGATCATTGCGGCTGGATTTTTGGGTCCTGAGAAAACACTGGCGGAACAGTTTGGAATAAAGAAGGTTAGGTTTCGATGCTTTTACAAGTTCAGTTTTTCTCGTTTGTTTCTCTTTGTCAATTGTTTTCTGGGTCTTCGTCCTCAGGATCCCAGAAGCAATTTTGCCACCGAAAAGAACAAGTATTTAACCAGTGCTCCCAAAGTGTATGCCGCAGGAGGTGAGCTATGTCTGTTGCTTGAACTGTAACAGAATATGATAGTTGCAAGAGTTTATAAAATAATTAACAAATAGGTCCATTTTTCATTGCATCTTTTCACCAACAGAACACAGGGAAAGTCAAATGTAATGAGAACAATAGCGCGACATAAGAGGGGCATTTTATGATGTTTTACCTCGTTTTCACGTCGTCTTCCGTTAGGCTCTTGGGCTGACGTATCAAAGATTCTTGAATGAACCCTTTCCATCCTGACGTCAACATACATATTCTCCATACTGTTCTCGGCACATTTATTAAGGTGCTGACAAGTTACTGATCATTTCCTTCATTCTCATGACCTTAATGTTTGATTCAGGGCTGATATTGTTAGGAGAAATTGAATGTTAGTAGAAATTGAATGTTAGTCACTCTAAGGAGTCAAAGGGTGAACTTTTGTTTTCCTTTCTTCAGATTGTCGCCGCGGTCAGTCACTGATTGTGACAGCCATCTCTGAAGGACGACAAGCCGCTCGTCAGATTGACCTCGATTTGATGGGTGAAACCTCATTGGCGGGTCCGGGGGGACAGATACATGTTATTCAACCCCGCCCCTCTGAAATACAATCGTCTGCCTAAACAAAATGATACAAAAAGCGCCCAGCAATTCCTTAAACGCTACCGCCACCTAAGCATGGTAGCAACGGGCTGTTTTACCCTTTTAGCAGACTAGCTTTTTAATATAATGTGGAACTTATCACGAGAATAATTTATCGGTTTCGAGCAGTAGGTGTCGATTTAGATTTTATCGTGTTAGAAATAAGGATCGTTCGTAGATTGAGAAAAAAAGTGGCCGAAAAAGGAAAAACCCTCCTCACTTAATGTCAAAGTTAAGAGCACATTTATGACGTTGATACAAGGATATTTATTACGTTATCTATCAGCTTATGTATAATCATGGTTATTAACTTATTTTTCTGTCAATGAACGTGACCTAATATTAATATATAAATATATATTTGAAACTTGGAACGATTAAGTTATCGATTTAAATCAATTCTATGTGCCAAGTCTCGTTTAAAAGTAATTTTTTAACGTGTTTCCATTCGTGCAAAATTAAAAATTTTATGACTTCTTAGATGATAAAAGTGTAGGTAGCTAGAGGAACATAGAAAGCGTTACCTTTTCTTTAAAAAAAAAAGTATTCTTAGAAATGCTACAAGTGAAGTTAGCTCTTTTTGTGGGTAGTGTTTCTTTGAAGGGTTTTCTCGAGCCTTTACACCCCGACATCAGTATATATGTTCTCAGTACTGTTCTCTACACATTTGATTTATTTTCATGACCTCTCTGTGTGACTCAGGGGTGACATTGTCAGGAGAAACTAGATTCTTGTCACTCTTAGAGGTTAAGCCTTTTCCCTCCCTTCCCTTAGGAACTTTTACAGTTTCTCGCGTTAGTTCCAATAGAATTAGTACCTATAAGTAGTGAAAGACACAAGTTGGGTTAAAAAGAGGCCCTGTGCCGTGATGCGATGAGTAGTGTTCGTTGGAATGGGTCTTACAGTAGACGCACTTACTCTGATACCTGACAACGTTTCTTAATTTTAATTGTGCCACTCTGTAGAGGAACTTCTCAAAAGGGATTTGAAATAAATTCTTGGTAATATGGTGATACATTGTTGGTGTTTTACTGTTTTCAGGACTGCACAGTTACTGAAATAGTGAATTGTTGAATATAATATGGTAACAGTCACTTTTGTAAAAAAAAAAAAAAACTCATGAAGAAGGAACGTTGTTTTCTTTTGGTCACGCTTGGGACCTAAAAAGTTCCCTTCGAGTGATCGAAAGTCGACCATCGGATCAGTTTTCGCGTACTAATGCTCTACCAACGCAGCAACCAAACACTAGGTTCAAATTTTCCCCTGAGATATCGGAGGGTTCCGTGTTTTTAGTGGGTTACATAGTTTTGAGACCTGATTGCGACTGTTTTTTGGTACAAAACTGACCGAAAACTTATTTTCTTGGAACATTAAGTTGCTTGGATGTTACAGATAGTGTAATCCGTGGTCAGTAGGGGTCGCGGTTGGGGAAGAGCAGACTTGGACGGCTGAGCGAAGAGAGCTTTTTTGCACTCTAGTTAAACGTTCAATTGCATTAGCGTGGGTGGAATATCTTTTTGTAGCGTCGGTTTGATAATTCTACCAAAAATGACTAAAGATTTATTTATGCGCACAGCAGGTTGTGCAAATGGTTCTTTTGGCGTGGGTAACGCCCTTATACAACTAATTAGGAGCGAGACAAATATTTGATGGATCAGGAGGTCCTTGCGGTAACGCCCTCCGATGAGCAAGGGTAACATTGCTAAAGCAAGTAGCCATTTGCCATTTCGGAGAATGTGGAAAAACTGCTTAAACGACCGCCACAATCAGTTCCAATTTCTTTATTACCTTATTGTCAACAGATAAGACAGTATTTCTGTATTTGTAAAATTGTTTTCTTCACACCATTTTTGCTAATTCCTAAGCTCATTTAAAAAAAAGGGTCAATAGCTCGCGTCGTGTCTTGCCGAAGAAAATCGGTAGGGAAATAACCAAATGACCATTGCACTGCAGTGTTTATTCCCTCTGTTTTTCTTTTTCTTTTATCCAAGGCAAGCAGAAAGAAGATTAAATAATAACCACAGAGTATTCCAAAACTACAAGAAAATTGCCATGCACAAGAAAACTTCTGTGATACATATCGTGTTTGATGTTTCTGACTGTTATTTGTTATGTACGTTTCTCATTTTAAAAATTGAATTTATTTTGACTCTTCCACTTTCACTGGGTTTTCTTCAGTTGGTTTCTTTAGTTCCAGAGAAGGCCACCTTCCGATGTCTTCTTTTCGTAGTTTTATCTCCACCTTGGTCTGGGATAACATCACTGAACTTTGTTCTGGAATAATCACCTTAAAAAAGAAACCATTGTGCGAAGATTTAGCTCCTTCCTAACAGAAATGTTTTGATCAGTATCAGTATCTGCACAACTCTGTACCCACCCTTCCCCTAACTCAACACTTGTTGGATTAAGGGAGGGGTGGGGGTGCACAGTTGCTCAGAAGCTGACATCGATCTGAATATTTCCTACTTGTCTGCTTATCTGAAGTCTGCCTGACAATTATGTTACAAGTGACAAGGGATTTCATCATGTGAGGCTTCACTACAATCAATTTGTGATTGGTCTGGAAACCATGCACCACCTACTAAAACAACCAGATTTGAATCTAAAACCAATATTGGGGCAAGGCGCTGCAATACTTTGTACAGTTTACTTGTTTTAGCATTGAGTTTTCCTAAACTCCTTATTATTAGATTGGCTGTTGCTCAATCCAAAACAAATTGAGTATGCCTATGTCTCAGCCAATTTAAACAACCTGTTTTGTCCTTCCAGTCCCACTCTTCTTTCCAAAAGACTTTTCTTTCTGATCTTACAAAGGTTCAATTGTGATTTAATACTGGTGAGCTGAGATGACATCAACACCAAATGCCAAGGAATAAACGTTCCAACATTAACATCAAACAAACACTTAAATTCAGGAGGGCATATTATATATATATCTTATTAACCAAGCGTGAGGGCTGTACTGGGAGAATATTGGCCCAAGGTCTTGACAGTACGGACCGAGCGCAGCGAGGTCCGTACAAAAAAGACCGAGGGCCGATATTCTTCCAGTACGGTCCCGAGCAAGCTTGGTTAATAAGAGATTTATTATACGACTGAAGTTCAAAGGGACACAAGTGCGGTATCATTCGGAACCATTCGGGACCAATACTGAGAAAATATTGACTGGCAATAGAGCATTTTGATTGGTTGATTTTAGTTATTGGCCCTCTGACTGCCTGAGTCGTGTAATAAAATAAGATATTGTGTTCTCCCAAATGGCCATAAAATATCAAATTTACATCCAAGACAATAAGACATACTTCATTTTAAAAACTGCTATCATGATACTTAATTGATTTTTGTATATTGGATTTCCCTAGCTAACTTTTCCAAAGTAATTTTAAACTACAACTCACCCCATGAAGATTGAGCTGAAGTTCAAATACATTTGAGCCCCCAAACACCACATGGGCTTTCACCTGAAGTAAAAATAAATAATCATGCTGGTCAGATACTGTTTTTCAAATAAGCACCTCAGCAGTTTATTAAAGTTTTGGCTAAAAAGTGAATGGGGGGCACCTACAGGAGGGGGATGCTTACTACTCTCAAACACTGATTCTGCTATAGAGGAAGCTTTAAGGTTATAAATAGAAATGGGTTTCTTTGTATCCTTACCATTTAAGAGAGTGAGGAAGTAGGGTTGTTCTTATTTGACAGATGGGTGCTTAAGAGAACTTGGACACTTTTCGAAAGGTAGAATGGTTATGTGGATGGAATGGTTTCTTGCCAGCAAAGTGTTACATGCACAGGGAATTTGGTCACTTGTCCATTACCTATATCTGTCAATAGTATTGAAATGTTCAACTTACAATTGTTTTATTTGCTTCTACAAAAGTTTGTTGAGGATCACTCAGCTTAGCAAATACTGAAATGACGATAAAGTTTCCCATCTTGAACCAGTCATACCTGGAAAGGAACACAAACATGTCGTCTGCATAGGAATTCTTTGATGAAATTTCCATTTCCCTGGATTTAAAAACTGTCTCCTAACTGATAACAAAATTAATTTCCCTAATTTTCTTTGCTTCTCATCACCTTTCTGCCTGTCAGTTTATCAACCCTTTAACTAGCTCATCCTCGGTGTAAAAACCTGTGAAGCTCACGAGTGACGTAAAACAAAGACAACAAAACATTATAAACAATAGCGTACAACAAAACAATACCTCATGAAACAAAGAAAACCTCCTCAGGTTTTACACCGAGGATGACCCCTTTACCTCCTGAGATCTGATAGTTAATTCTCCCCTCTCATTGCTACACATTCCCTTATTTTAGCTACTAGAATATGGATTTAGATTAAGACAAAAATTTCTACCAGATACGTTTGAGAATTCTCATTACCTGTTTGATGGGTAATAACTGGATATTAAAGGGAGAAGTTACATGTAATCACTTCTGGGAATTAAAAGGTTAACAACGAGAGTGAAAGGGTTATAGATGTGACCAAAGCAATCTACTTTTAGTTCCACTCCCAATTTTTGAATTCAGTGTTCCATTTGTAATGTTATTACCCATGGCCAGGGTCATGACCTTCCAATCCCTTGTACCCCTGAGTTTTGCAATTGAAAACACACCCAGAGAGTAGTATTTGTAGTTGAAGGTATGAAAAGTTTAAAAAGGGACTAAAAGAAATGCATTAGTCACATGGCACTGACAAAGAGATTTTAATTTCAAATTGGCTTTACTGTCTTGTTATGGCCATTCAGTTGGCTGATCTAAAGTGAGCTTGAAAAGTTAATGTAAACTCTTACCGGCAAACAACTCTTTTTGCCTTTTCCTGCCAATAAAAGTAAATCAAGAAGATAAAAAACTAAATGTGTGCATGATGCCAAAAATATATATTTTATAATACTTTTTCCATCCTCTCCCACTAAAAAATCCAAACTTATTCCATCTTTCTTTGTTTCTAAGTCCTTCAAATTTCTCTCTCTTTCTGCCTCTATCAGGGTTTGACAAACTTTTCAGCTTACAAGCTGAGTGGTTAGTGACATCTTAGATGTTATGACAAATTTCAGTTTGTTTCCGAGCCAAACTGGCTAGTGGAAATCGAAAGCCACTGGCCAAATTTCTACTAGTCTGTCACTAGTGGGTTACTGTTAGTGTCAAGCCCTGCCTATATTTTATGGTTTTCTACAATTTGATGAAAAATTTGTAAATGAGACGAAAAAAACAAACCACACGAAATATCCCACCACAGTTCCTATAGATGGGCCTTGCACAGTACAAATTATAACAACACATCAGTTTGGATGCCACCTACCTCTTCCGTTAGTTCCCATCTGTGAGACCCCGACGCGCATCCTTCCTGTTTCAAGAACTCATCAAAGTCTGTTGTTCGTTTCCGACAACAAGACCAAAATTTATACCTGAAATCAGTTGCCAGTATATTGAATTCTTCCTCACCAACTGGGTAAAGGTAATTAAAAGTTAATCCTTTTGGGCACTAAACTCCATCTTGCTGAAGTTCAACTCTTTCACTCCCAAGATCTCATTATCAATTCACTTCTCTGTCCTCAATACATTTCTTACAATTAGAGCTATGAGAATTTGATGTTAAATCAAACACTATTCCCTCATTGATATTTTTTTCTTTCTTCTCATCACCTTTCTGGTGGATGATGTATTGACAGTTTAAGGTGAAATGACACAGTGGGTATCCATGAGAGTGAAAGGGTTACTCAAGTCCTAGCAGGAAGAGGAAGAACAGGAAACCAGCCCATCTCTCTCCTCAGTATTTTGTGAGTATTCCCCGACAACTTCCTGAGGCCTATTTCTCGAAAGTCCTGGTAACTTAACGGGCCCGAAGCCATGTTTTAAAATCAAAATTTAAAGGATAGGAAAGCAGGTTCTGGCAGCCAAACCAGTCCTTTTTGTTTCTTTCGCTGATAATTTTACTGTAACATTCTCAAAACTTTTGAAATCCCCATCTTGAATGAAAGCAGAACAGCTTTATGGGCCCATTAAGTTACCGGGACTTTTGAGAAACAGGGCCCCTGGTACCCAGTTCTTCTCCGGGGTGGAAAGAGGTCTTGTGACTTTCTGTTGCCTTGCCCAAAAACACATGGAAGTGAATTGCCTTTCACTCTTTATAGTCTAACATCAGCATGTACATTCTCCATACTGTTCTCTAGACATTACCAATGGTATTGGCAATCATTTCATATTTCTCTACAACCTTAACCATTTCACTCCAAAGATCTTCTTAATAATTCTCCCTACTGTCTGCCATACAATTCTTATGGTGCAAGTTTGGAGAATTTGGTATTGGATCAACTGATAATCCCCTAACTGATATTTTTCTTTATTCTCTTTACTTGTCTGCTCAACATTGCATTGCTACTGTAAGGAGAAAATCTGTCTTGGTCACTCAGCTAAAGGGTTAATGTTTGATCAGGGTTGATACTGTAAAGAGAAATCAGAGGCTAATCACTCTTAAGACCAACCCTGTTCCCAGGGTCTCTCTTCTCTCGCTCCAGGGGGCGGGAAGATGAGAGACCCTGGGAACGAGGTCAACTCAGGACTTAAAGGGTTAATTGGGAAAAAAGTTCGTTACAATCATTTCCTGAGGTAGAACACAGAAGAATTATGAGCAATTTAAAAGTAATGTAGAGTAACTAAGGATTGCCGGGACTAACAAAAACATGGAAACTTTATTCAAGTTCAGTAAATTATTTTTTTTTTTAAAGAAGATTCCTTAACCTCATCTCAATTTCAATTTTAGGAAAATACTTCCTATGGGTGGAAGTGCGATCTTCTCCCCCTTGCCTGGGTTGAAAGTATTTCCTCTCCTTAGGGTCATTTTTATCTAACAAAGTCAACAGTTCCTTACCCTTCATGAAACACTGGTACTCCATAATGATGCCAACACTTATCATCATTTGTACTCTCATCTACATATGACTAAAAAATAGCAAAACAAATAACAGGGTTACAATTTTGTTTCCAAGGTTGACTCATCCCATTTAATTTAGTAAAGTCTGAAAAACTTACAGTGATACATCCACTGTTCTTGCAGGTTGTTCCAGGTTTAATTCCACCATCAGTTTCACTACCTGAAATGAAATGATCCTTGTTTCCAAGGTCAGCCACAACTTTTGAACACTTTTTTTTTTTCACCCTCTAACTCCAAAGATCTGACTGTTAATTCTGCCCTCTAGCTGCTACACATTTCCTTAAAAATTACACATGAATAAAGGCTGATAGTTTCTAAAGAAACTGTTTGGGGCTGCATCGGTGGGGGTAACAAAATAATTTGAATATATCAACAAAGTTGAAATGGTAAATTGGCCACCGATGATTCACCATTGATTCGCTCTGATGAAACGTCAGCTTTTATAATCGTAACGGTGGCCAATTTACCATTTCAACTTTGTTGATATATTCAAATTATTTCCTTAAAAATTAGTTACAAGAATTTGGTGTTACATCAAGGTAACAACTTTTATGTGATAAATCTGAGTATTCTCATTACCTGTTTGATGGATGATGTTAGATAAATCGTTTATTAAAAAGAAACACCTCCCAGTCCGAAGACTGAATTACGTGTATAATATACAAGAAACAAAATTCATAGTTAAAATAGTTTGAAAATCTTAATAATAAAAATATACAAATCTACAATATACAAATATACATATTATAGGGAGAAGTTACCTGTTAATCACTTCTTGGGGTTTGAGGGTTAACAGCATTTGTACACTTACACAGTATTCTCATTCTATACAACTTTTACACCTAAAAATTCAAATTCCCAAAAAGTCACATAAACTGAAAAACATTTTTCAAGTCACTTACCCTCGCAAACTCCAGGTTTGTCCTTTTCTTGGTCTTTAAGTTTTACCAGGGCTTTCTTCAAAGAATCTGCTACTGTCATTTTAAGTTTTATCTTAGGAAGGTCATCACTGAAACAAGAACACAGATAGTATTACTTAAAACATGACACATTTTGGGTAAACGTTATTTCAAAACATTTCAGAGAGAAAGCCCTCAAAGATTTTTCTTATGAGTATTTTTTTTCAATTAATGAAATTAAAAATCATAATAAACAGTTTTGAGTTGGTATTGTTATGGAGAGCGCCCATATTTTTCCAAAGAGCGCGGTGTTACATGATTCCTAAAAATAGCATGAAGAACTTTCTAGAACACTTAGTTACACTGACTAAGCGGAAACTTTTAGAAGAACTTTCTAGAACCGTGACTCAGCATATTTTTGCTAAGATGTAATCGTAGTGTAATGTTACTAAAAATAGCAATATCAAAGATCTCCAGAACATTCTAGAACTTTTGTGAAAGGTATATAAGGAGTCATGCTAGCTTAGAGAAAAAGGCCTTTTTAGTGAGATAAAGCTGCTGTTGCGAAGAGCCCAGAGGAGCAAGAGCCGGACGGAGTTGTTGTGAGCCGTGTGGAAGGCTACGTTGGAAAAAGTATTGTGTGCGTCGACAAGTTTTAAGAGTTTTTCAAGAGAACTGTGAGTTGTGCGGTAGTGCACTGAGATTGAAGTTATATGATTCATAGAGGGCTCTAAGTTACGAGGATAGTTATTGTACTAGTTTTGATTTCGCTCCGTAGTTATTAAGTCAGTCAATAAAGTAGTTGGGTTGTACGAGTTGTATCTTTCTGGCGGTTTGGATAATACCGTAACAGTATATAAATACCTTGGTCTTTCTACAGGTTCAGTTGGTATTGGTTTTCGTTTAGGTGGTTTAACTTTTATCACCTGAAAAGTAAGAGTATCCATGATTATAAGTAAGTAGAGACACAATGGAATCATAAAAACCTGGCCTTGAAAAACAGTTGTTGAATCTCACCTCATCAAGTCCGAGAGCCTTGTCATCTGTATTGGGTTTTTCTGGTTCAGGAGGTTTCACATTAGTATGGCATGATTTAGTGCAACCCTAGCAAAAGAAAGCATTTTGAGAAATCTGTTCTCTGTTACATAGTTTGTTTGTCACATTTTGGTTATGTATACCAGTTTCCAATTATAAATGTCCTTAAAAAAAGATAAAGCTTAGTTATCTAGCTTACCTTGATGTTTAAGAATTCTGTAAAGTCTGTAACTCTTTTCTTGCAACAGGACCAGCCCTACAAATCAGAGTAAATTATTTTTATCATTTTTTCTTTCTTTCCCATTTCTACAAGTGATCAATCTATCACGTGATCATATCTTTTGTCTGTGTTCACTGCACTAGCCTCCACAGACAGAGACCTAAACAATGAAAAAACAAGCAAAAGTCTGCCATTTTTAAAATTTTTCATTTAAAAATGGCATTAATGTCAATGCAAGTGTACCTACTGGTAACCATGTTCATTAACCCTTTCCCTTCCAAGATCTCCTAAGTAATTCTCATTAGTGTTTGTCATACAATTCTTATGATTTTCAGTTTGGAGAATTCAATTTTGGATCAACTAATAATCTCCACATTGATAATTTTCTTAATTCTCACTTGTTGTCTGCTTGTTACTGTTGCTATTTTTAAGAGAAATTCTATCTTGGAGTTGACAGCAAGCTTACTAGTTATCAAGGCTGTGCTCTAAGAAAAATTGAAGGGAGCCCAGTGCTCTGAAGCTGAAATCCAGAGTGCCCAGCATATGCTTTTTATGAAAAAACTAAGATTCCTGAGTCGCCCAAGAGCAAAAATAAGGCGCCAGGGGCTACCGGGCGCTGCTAGACCACAGCTCTGGTTATGAATGCAGAGCTGGCCCAGTTGTTTGAAGGCTGATTAGCACCAATAGGTTTCTATATTTCTCTGTTCAAAAGCCATTTTGGACTAATTTTCCCAATTCTTTTCAGAGCATTCAGTCATCAATTAATTGTAGACAAATGGAATTGAACTGAATTTTCTTTTAAAGCTTTTAGATCTGATATCAAATTTCACACTAACTCTGGGTTATCTTAACCCACCTTTGAACAACCTGGGCCAGAATTACAAATAACCCTCTCAGATATATTAAACAATTCTTGGTTGCAGGCTAAGTGAACTCTGTTGAATAATCCCCAAAACAAAGTTGAGGCAGCCATTTTGAAATCTAGCGCCCCTGCACAGGTGAGGTGATTAGAGCAAGATTTGATGCAATCCTTGACCAATCGGAGTGTGTGCATCTCTACTATGACTTGAACAACAATACTAGAATGATTCACTACTATCTTACCTTCAGAGCATCATGAAATACTGGACAACCAGGATGATGTAAACATACATCTGTAAAAAAATTGATATCACTTGTTTTCAACAGACATTTCAAATAATCTCAGAAAAGAGAGGAAATTATATCTATACCAGCCTAAACAAGCATGATAGTTATATCCAAAACTAAAAGAACCTGTATCATAATATGACAAGAGTTAATGCAAACTTTTAATTTCCCCAATCATCTACATGTATTCCAAATTTTCTTTCTAAAAAGGCCATTTGGGTTTTCATTTGATTATTCAACTATGTTGTCTCTGGTTTTCTTTGATTTCAAACATGTCCTTAAACATTTCCCTTTCAACGTATAACAAGTGCTACCTGGGTACATACTAGATATTAAATATGTTTCAGTACATTTCAGCTGTCGGATACCAAACTGGCTGCAGATCATTCAAAATATATTAAAAGTCACAGTAGAAAAGATATCACTTTTAAAACTGATCGAAAAAGTAAAATTAGTTGTACAGTAATGAGTATCATGCAAGCGATAAGTCATTTCGACGGAACTACTAGACTAGTACTTGTCAACTATCCAACGAATAATCATTACCTTCTCCATTTTCGTCCTCTTTGTATTTTTTTCCACAACCCTTATTATAACATAGTAGCAGCTGATCTGTCGACATTATAGCAAGGAATACCTCGAATTTTACAGGTAAAGATAACAGAAAACTTCTCTCTAATTCTCAAATTATATGAAACATGCAGAAATGGATCACATGTACTTAAATGGCAGCCGCTGACAAGTACACTTCTAAACAACGCGGGTGCGCTTATGGAAGCTGAGAGAATTTCATGAAGTGGTAGCATTGGCGATGGGAAACTTTTCAAGGTGGATTAGTCTCATTTCTAAAATTTGAGAGGGTGTTGGGCCGGGGGGGAGGGAAATTGAGGGTCAGAAGGGGAAGGTTCAGGAAAAAGAAGAGTTGTTCAGCTGCAATAAAGACTATCCTTGAAAATTACTGAAGGGACTCAACTTCCCAACTCCCACCCACCCCTTCCCCACAGTGAAGAAATTAAGATTTGATTTGACTGTGACAAATCTTTTGCACACTTTGACTAGCATCAAAGTCCAAAAAATAACTGAAAACATTTCATTGTGGGAGCAATTGCTAAATAGGGAGAGAGTTGTAGTTAGAAAACAGAGTTGTGTACCAAATTTTTGAAATTGATGCTTTAATTAAGCACTCTAAATCACCCTGTATCGCATCTGACATCTGAAGCAGTTTCTCTCCATCAAATCAAAATTTTCTCTTAGAGCACTTTAGCCAAAATGAAAATTCTCTATTTTGACAAAATTTTACACTTCTTTAGCAAGCAATGAGCAGGCAAACAAGATTCATGCCAAAGAGCAGACATGCATGAGACAAGTTTTTTCATTGTCAGATTCTCACTTACATGAATTAGCCAAAATCACTAGTGCAGATTCTCACTTATGTGAATTAGCCAAAATCACTAGTGCGGATTCTCACTTATGTGAATTAGCCAAAATCACTAGTGCCGATTCTCACTTATGTGAATTAGCCAAAATCATTAGTGCGGATTCTCACTTATGTGAATCAGCCAAATTCACTAGTGCGCAGGATTTAACCCTTTCACTCCCAAGATCTCCAGAGGAATTCTCCTCTCTGCCTTCATACATTTCTTAACATGTCAGTTCTGAGAATTTTGTTTTAAATCAAATAGTATGTCCTAATTGATATTTTCTTTACACTAAACACCTCTCTGTTCGATAGTGTATTGATAATGTTAGGAGAAATTATCTCTTAGTTACTAATGGAAGTGAAAAGTTTGATCAATTACCTAATACAAAAGTCATAAAGTTGTACAATGGCAGATTTACAAAGGAGGTGATATGCAAAGTAAATACAGTGTGCAACACTTCACTAGGAATACTTTTTTGAAATTCACATGAATGTTGAAGTTTATAGCTGCACATTTTTATTGTTTCATGTTCTATCTGTTTCTCCTTTTGGGGAAAAAAGGAAAACTATTCTTACTAATTAAAGATATTGATTTTTCATGTACACACAACATATATTTTGGTGAGTGATTCCAAGTAACCTAACCTAAGTTATTAATTCAAAGCACTCGTTTATTAACTGAAAATATATAAAACTCTCCAAATGATTTAAATAATACACTTTCACTCAATTATTTTGAAATTAAACCTTTTTCTCTATCACCTTTCCTTCTTATTAAAGGATGCAGTTTAATTACATCTACATCTTTTTTCCCCACACATCAATTCAAACTATTGACATCACAATAACTATTGTTGCATTTTAAACCCCACACCAGCATAAATTATTATCCTTAATTAAAAAAAAAATATATTATAGCTTTAACACCAACACTCTTCAAGATCATGCAATTAGAGAAAAAAAAAAAAGACTTCTTCACTGAACATCTAGTTATAAGGAGCTGTAAAAGGTGTTGAATTTTAACCTATACCCCCAAAATGGTTTTTGTAAATCCAGTGATTCCTCATTGGTTTGTAGTGGTGTTGTTTTTATGTCATTACTTATTGCTTTCAACATTTTCCTGATTTCTTCAACAACTATCTTCTGCTCAAGCTTCCCTTTACTGGCCTTATGTGTCACTTCATTGAAAGGAAAGGCAAGAATGCAATTACCAATTTTAGGCTGAAGTTTCACAATGTCCGAAGTTGCTTTGTTTCTAGGAGTTCTCCCTGGAGGGCACCTTGAGTACTTGGAGGGAATGTGGTGCAAGGTTTTTGGACTTCCGTTAGACAAACTGCCCTTATCAACTAAATGAAGAGATTTCAGCGATGATGCTTCTGAATTAGAGCGACAAAAGCGCAGGTGAGGTGGCAGCTGCTTGCATGTGTTTGCAGATTGGGATAAATGCAGAGATGTCTGACCGTCACTTTGACCTCTTATTGTTGGTGAAGACAATAACGGTTCCCGTACTGTGCAACTTTTCTCAACTTCTTTTTTTGGATCTGTTGAAAGTGAAAGATTTTTCTCTGCAAATGTGGCAAAATCAGGATTACTCTGAAAACCTATATCATCACATGATGCCAACTTGTTTTTGTTCATTTCATCTTGACCAGGTTCATTGCAGTTGATTTTTCCAGCTTTGACAAAATCCTCTGAAGTGATTAGTCTTCCATAACTACAAAAACTGTTCTTTGAAGATGGCAGTTTGCCACTATGGTTGCAATTTGTTGCTTTATTGTCATTTTCACTGAAAACAGCCAGAGTCATGTCACCTTTCTGTCTTTGTAGATAGCTTCGCTTTTGATTTTGAGGACCCATATGAGCATACTGCTTCTTGCCGTCTAAAACCGGTCCCTTGACAAAGTCACCATGTTGCTTAAATCTGGATTCTGCTTCTAGTGAAGAGAGATTGAAGCCAATTTTGGATTTTAAGGACACGCTTTTACCATTTCTTGCTGAGCCACTTTTTGCAATGCTTCCTTTCAACCCCTTTTTCTTGGTTGAATTACTTCCTCTTTCTCTTTCCCCTCTCTTGATGTCCAGCTCAGTAAAGTTTAGGCTCTCCAAAATATCATTCAACAATGGTTTCTTCACTATCTCATCTTGACTGCAATCATTACCCAGTGCTGGTGAGAAATTCACTTCTAATAACCATGGCTTCAATTTTTCATCAATAAGAATGTCAAAGCCAAATAGTTCAAAACAGTTTGAACTATTACTGGGTATGTCTTGCATTTGTGAAAGCAGTGTGATGATTATGATGGATGTAATGCGGTGCCACAAAAGGCGATCGTCAATGTTATGTTTGTGAAAGAAATGACGTAGTTTACTCAGTGTCCATTTACAACCAGTTCCAATGCTTTCTTTTTCTGCTGAATACTGTGGTCCAGTTTTGTTAATACTAGTGTTGGTAAGATGTGAAAAACGGTTGTCAAGTGAGGACAAATCAAATCTTTCTGTGCTAAACCGCACAAGACCCTCGTGATAGATGTAGAGAAGGAGAGGATGATACGATGTGACTATGGCATACAAACGCAAATCAAACTTGTAACCCGAGATAAGAAATGGTTTGATTATGTATTTTTGCACAACAACAGCACAGTCGTAAGTGAGATCATGTAAATCTTGGAAAATAAAAATTCCTCTTCCACAAGACTGCTCAGTCGGCTTGCAGATCCAGTATTTGGATCTCTGGCCACTATCTTGTTTAAAAAATTCTGCGACAAACTTCTTAAACTCACTAGGAAGGATAAATGTTTGTGGAAAAAACTCAAACATGGAGCCTCCATATGAAGTTCTCATTCGCCTAAGATTTCTGGCTAAACCATCTTTTTTGGTGATATTTGTCGATTTGGGAAAGTGGTTCAGGCGTTGCCATGGACGACAGTGTTCGAATTCACCTGAAGTAAAGCCCTGAGTTTTCCACCATAGATTCCACTCGCCATTCGATTCATCTCTACTTTCGTCGTATTCTTCCCATCCACGTTCTAGACATACTTCTCTGAGAATATCCGGCGCTTTGTCGCAAAGCCGGAACACAACGGACGCCATCAGTTAATGATTCCATCAAAATCTTTTGGACCCTGAGCTCAACGCATCAAAATCCAATGGTAAGTTTTCAAAATTGTCCTCTTGATAGCAGAGAGCAATGATCAAAAATCAGTCTGAAAAACAAACATTACGCCATTATTTCGAGATTTTTGGCGTTCGTCTATTAATCATTAAACTTCGGAAAGTCATTTTCGAACACCGGCAGGTGGTTAAAACTTTATGACGTAACTTTCTTGGGACATTACCTGGTCAGCGGACTAGTACCATGTTCATTTAACAACCAGCAGAACATCTACTTTGCACGTGTGTATTAAAATGGCCACCGGTGGAAAAGAGCTGAGTCGAATGTCATGCGAAGATTTTGGGGAATTCAAGGTATCTGGCTTTACCGTAATGTTTGAATACATCGGCTGAAATATCGTTTGTGTTTTAGTGCTAATGTTTGAAAAACTGCACTACAGTTGCATTGCCAGGCAGCATAATCCAATATAGGCTAGAACTTGATTTCGTCATCTACTTGCAGAAGTTACTTATTAGGAAGGATGTAACATTTTACAGTCATTCTGTGTAATTAGTACCATCTGATAAAAATTTAAGTGTTAAGTCAAACAACTGGAAACTTCAAGGGACTTCTGCTGAATACAGTTTATGAGTACATATTTTTTTCTTGGGGAGGGGGGGTTGTCAGAGGGTGTTAAGAGGGTGTGTGCCCATAGGATTGGGCTATCCTTACAATAAAAGAGACCTGTATTTTTCTGTTAGCCCTATAGCTTGAAGAGACCCAATCAAACCTATCCTATTGCAGATTTACCATTTTCAAGAAAACTTACCACTTGGTCATCCATTATCACCAGTACATTTGCCAGAGAAACCCTAAGAGAAACTGTGGGAATCATTGTCTTGGGGAAATTTCTCTTTTGCCTGGCAAAATGTAACCAAAAATTCAGACTGAATCTGTTACTTCTAAACGCTATCCTCAGTGGAAATGTTAAACAATACAACATTTTGGCACTAAATATGAAAAAGCTCTTAAGGTAAGGAACCAGAATGCATCATTCACTATATGGGAAATGAACTTATTACCTCTTACTGTAGCCCCAGGTGACCAAGAGAATTGCTTCTTTCCCTTGATATAATGCTAACCTTTTAGCATTTTGTACTCCTCAGGGAAGAAGAGAAGTTAGAGAAGAGAAGTGTCTTCCCTACAAATGCAATTTTAACCCTAGATCATATTTTAAGGTCATGAGAATGAAGGAACTGATGACAAACTAAAGAAGCTCTTGATTGTTAAACAAATTCTCCTTGCCAGCTCCAAAGGAAATATACAGAGAACAGTATAGAGAATATGCATAACAATGTTAGGGTGTAAAGGGTTAATTACTTGGCCAGAGCTCAGAGTAAGAACTTTTATCCGGAGCATGTTGTGTTGACCGCGAGGCTCATGCATCTTCCATCAAAAAAAAAAAAAAAAAAACCGAAATAAAAAGACATTTCTTTATTATCTGGTCTTGTTGCAGGAAGCATTGAAGGTCCTAAGACTTGTTGATGATGCAATCATTTATAAGTTGAACACAAGTATTCCAACAGATTCCTTTGTTGGTGAAATCAATGCTGAACAAAAATGTCAAGAACTCTATAACGAGGTAAATGAGAAACAATATCAAACTGTACTGCTACAACCACCGCCTCATTAAAAAAAAAAAAACTGGCTTTAGTATTTGGATCAGTCAGTTTGCTAAGCTTATAAGAGTAAGTCAAGGTTCACTCAGTCTTTGTAATAACAAGGTGGTTAAATATATTTTGTTCAGTAGGCATCAAAGATGGGAGACTTGTCTGCCTGCTACCCAGAATTCTCAGTAGAATATTTTAATGTCGTGAGGGACTTATTTTGTGTAGAGATGGAGAATAACCTTGCATACAAAGGCTGTGGTCTAGCAGTGCCTGGTGGCCCCTGGTGCCTTACTCTTGCTCTTGGGGAACTCAAGAATTTTAGTTTTTTCATATTAAGCCTATGCTGAGCACCGTGGATTTCACAGTTTCAGAGCACTGGCTCCATTCAGTTTTCCTTAGAGCACAGCCTTGCATATGCTTGTGTTCCCAAATAATATAATGCCAAGTGATGATGCTATCAGGAATTCATTAAATAGTAATGATTACCTTATGCATATTCTTTGAGTGACTTACTTCGAATTATTTTTCTTTATTTCAATGTCTTTTTCAATATGCAGTTGATGTCAGGCTACATGACAAGAGATCAAGCCATTAAGAAATGTATCACAGTAGTTTCTGAAAACACCAAACAACTCAGAGAGGAAACAGAAAAGAACCCTGAGAATGGTCAAATCATGAGAAATCTTAAAAAAGAACAAACAAAGGTAACAGTAATGTGAAATAATGGGAATTTAATAATGGGAATTTAGCAGTGGGCATTCTACTAACACGGTGGTCCAGGTTCAATTCCCAAATCTGGCTTCACATATAGGTTGAGTTTGTTGTTGGTTCTTGTCCTTGCCCAGAGGGTAGTTTCTGTGGGTCCTCCAGTTTGCCTCCCTGCACAAAAACCTCATCGTTCAACCTTCCAATTTGACCTGGGAATGGTGGACAAGAAGAGCCACAAGGAAGTGAGCACTCTTACTACTGTCCCATCTTCACTCATCTCTAATGAAAAAGACTGCAAAATAATTTCTCAAAATGATCCAACAGGGAAGAAAAAAGATAGTGATTATTTTTTGTGAAGCTATCCAAATTTAGCTATGCTAAAAGGGAGCAGATCAATGTCAAGATGAAAGAAAAAAGAGGATTTCCCTCAAAATGTGGGGGTCCGCATGGATGCCCATCTGGCAAAAAGCCTGTTACTTGAAGTATACAAGCCATTCCTGTTCAATTTTCATTCTATTCTTGTGTCGACATTCTACTTTTTTTCTAATTAATTTGGATGAGTTCTGTACTATGTGAGTGAACATACTCTATGTATGCAAGAGTGATGGGCAAAACTGGACAGTTGGTCAGTATATTCCAGTTTTTCCCGTCATTAACCCTTTAACTCCAATGAATGACCAAGCCAGAGTTTCTCCTTACAATAACAATACAATATCAAGCAGACAAGTGATGAGAATTAAAAAACAATATCAAACCTAATAATATACATGAAAAAAATTACTCCGTTCTGGTTGGTTAAGATAAATGCGGTTTTCGGGTAATTCAGTGCAGAAGAGAGGTAATTCAGTGCAGAAGAGGGTTAATTCAGCGCAAAGAAAGTAACTAACTGGACATTCTGATTGGTCAGAATGATTGGTCAATGTCAAGGTCAATGTCACTTGCAGGGTTTGAATAAATTATTTTTGCACATGATGCACACGCTTTTCTTTTGCATATTTATGAGAAGCTTCCTCGTATTTTTTCTTGTATATTATTAATACATAATCACATGATTTTCTCATGCAATTTGGAATAAATAAGCACTTGTAAATTTTTTCAAAGACCACAAATTGCACTTGCCCTATGGGCTCATGCAATTTTGTTAGTCTTTGAAGATATTAACTCGTGCTTATTTATTCTAAATTGCACTTGAAAGCATGTGATTACCTATACAATTAAGGGATTTTTAATTGATTATGATACTAAATTCTCCAACTAACATCATAAGAATTGTATGGCAAATAGTGGGGAGGATCACTAACGAAATCAGCTTGTCTGGATTTTTCTTTTCATTTACAGCTTAGGTTAATGCAAACTGAACTTAGTGTGGAAGAAGTTTTACAAAACCGGACCCTCAAGGTAGGTTGATATTGTGATATCCTTTGTGCCTCTTGTTCAGTCCTAAATTTAGAGCCTTTATGCATGGAAGCAAGTAGTGATGACAGTAAAAATATTTAGATATGGAAGGAAGAACAAAAAAAAAAAAAAAGTTATGGAATTTTTGAAAAGGTGTGACAAGCGAAGTTTCACTGCTGTCATGACAATAAAGACATTGCAGTTTCTTATGCGTCTATTTGTACTATGAAAAGTTTTTACTATCACCTCACCCTAAACCACGGTACTTTTAATTATTAATATATTGATTAAATCTTTGAACTGTTTTCCTCTCTCTGACTTTTAGTTTGTGACCTATAAATATCTACTCTTTCTTTGCATTTTAGGCTTTCACTGGACGGTGCTGGAAGTATTTCAAACCACAATGACATCTGCAACATCCAGTTAGGATTAATTCAAGTCATTTTAACTCAAATGTTATCCCATGTATGTATTGATTTGATGGGTGTTTCTGATACTCAGCAAGATTGCAGTTTAGGTAGAGGGACCAATTAGGTTTCTTGACTCTATTGGACCACACAGACAGCAAAGCACCACAGTGGTCTATCTTTTTTCTTCATCATTCTTCAACAAATGGCAGGGCCAGCATTTTTCTTTTTTTTAATTTTCTTTTGTTTGAGGAGCAATATTTACCTTTTCTTATTAGGGTTGATTGTCAGTAGAATTCTAAACCAGGAAGTGAGTTACTGCATGAAAACTATACCATCCTTTTCAACAAACACCATGGGAATTTTGGGGAAACAATAGCTGCTAAAATAATACGCTACTGATGGGTCTCAATAGAAACCTCTGTTTTTTGGTAAATATTAAAAAGACAGATGTTATTTTTGATTGGTAATGCTCTGTATTTCTCACCAGAGTTAGCATTGAGAGTATCTTACTTGTAATTGTTTCTAAGCCACTCTCCATAGCTCTTTGATATGCACTGATTGTTATGACTGATTCAATTAAAAATAAATATTTTGTACAGCACTACTTTCATTTGTATGCTGTTTTGGTAGTATAAATTATCAATAATCATTCAATTCAATCAGGCTGATTCACCATTGTTGAGTATGAAATGCCTCCATTAGTTTACTGCTTTTGTCAATGGCTTTGTTAAACAAGGCAGCCAATAGTTACATGTTGGTTATTGCAGAGTGATTCTCCTCCCACGATCAAGCATCACTGTGAGTAGGAATCCTATCTCATCAAGAAGGGCAGTGGGAAACAAGGAACTTAAACATGTTTTCCTCAAGTTACATGGGATTTGATTTTCTCTGAGAGACAAGTTCCATGAAGGAGGCCTTGAATTGTAGATCATCTCAATTAAGCCTTGGTCAAAATTGCATTGGAAAAAAAGGAGTTAAATTGACTGTTTTTAACCCTTAACCAGCAAGACTCTGTGTTTGGGAGTTCAGCTTCAAGCTCTCAGGCAGGGTTGGCTTTTGTTCAAACCCTAACCCTCACCCCACACAAGAGTATATAATGATAACAGCAACCCTGATGGAGTGGCATCCCATCCAATCACTTGCTACAGAAGCCAGGAGAAGCTCAGGAGAGGGGGGGGGGGGGCACTAAGCGTGAGAGAAGACTTTACCTATATATCTGGTTATCAAAACACACATTTTCCTCCGCGTTGAGATGCTTTTATTGTATTACTAAAGGAGAGTTTGTGCAAAGTGCTTTAAATGTTCATGGCCTTCCTTTTTTGTTAAGTAGTGGTTTTACAAGTAAGTTGCAGATAGTGGGTTCACTTACAAAAAGCTAACTTAAACTGAAAAAAGTTACAAAACTTAATCATTATTTTTTCTTTCTAATTTGTGCCAACAGTTATGAATTCTTTTGACCTCTTAAGCTGTAAAAAGACATTCTGAATTGACTAGTTATCCAACCAAACTACCATTATTTTTAATTGGTCAAAAAACTAATTTTTTCCATCAGCTTTAAAGTCATCCAAGCTGTCATCTTCCGACAATCCAGTTCTGATGGCTATTAACTCAATTTTTGATCCATCCTGCGGTAAACTTTGGTGTATGCGCAAATGAACATAAGAAGAGTCACCTACTTGCACCTGAGAAATAAAACGGAAGTTATCCTTAAAAGGAGCTGATACAAGGTTACTACTTCAAATTACCAATAAGCTGGTAAAGTTTCAAATCCTGGCTGAGCTTAGCCTGCATGACAGCATTTGTCTCTGGTTTAATCTTTGATTAAGATCTTAGCTTTGAAGCACACATGGATGATTTATGTAAGAAACTGTCAAAACAACTTGGACTTTTGAGGCATATTAGTTCTTATCTCAAGCGAAGGCACAAGTAAATTTTTTATCTTGCTGTTATAGAGCTAGTCATGTTGTACCTCAGTCCAATTTTGTCATCTTGGAGTAAGAAATTGCTAGAAAGAGTCTTACAGATGCAGAAGACAGCTGCATGCATTATATTAGATGCTAAAAGAACAACAGGCACACTAACTATGGTTAATGAAATTAACTGGATTTAATTTTTTATCAAGGCATGTAAAAGTGGATGTTCTATAGCCTTTAAGAGACTAGAGGGTACAACTCCAGATTATATAAATTCTATATTAAAGACAAATTCTGAATTCATAATCAATCTACTCATTTTTCAAATTTAAATTTCCATTGTCCTGTTTAAAAGAAAAATACAGGAGGAGGCCGGACTTTTTGCACACAAACTATTAGAAATTGGAACAAACTTTGAGGCAAATAAAAATGAAAATGTTTAATCTTTTAAAAGAAATTGTATACGAATTTAATTGCTAAGCAAAGAGAGAGGAAATTTTGAATATCTTTTAAATAGTTAAATAGCCTTTTAGATTAAGTCTGTGGAATAACTTGTTTTAAATTATTCTAAGTGTGCCAAGGGTTAAACCACCAAGTCTCAAAAGATGATTAAGAAGGAGCACTTCTTTACACTCTTAACAACAGCCTCCACCTCCTATCCCTCATCCTTATATCACTTGGCCATCTCTATGACATTAAGTGGTGAACTACAATCTAAAGGGGAGAGGAGAATATTATCCTGACCTATTCTGCAACAAAATTTAAGCCTAGAAAACATTTACATTGCATTAGATCTCTACAAATACCAAATACAAACCTTCACTAAGTAATTCATACCCTGTACAACTTGAGATCTATAGGAAATGGCTTTAAATTCCTTGAATGATTTACCAGCCATTGCCTCGGCCTGGCTCCTCACCTAAACAAAATAAATACCAGCGATTTCTAAAATGTATTCATTAATTTTTTTGGTAACAAATTTTGTTTCTCCATACCAGGACACGTCTAGCAAAGTGCATAGTTTGTGTATTAAGGTTGGTCAGGACAAAATGGCACAAAGTGTGATCATTTTCAATTAAAATTCAGACCTAAAATAACTGACTGCATTGCCTCTGAGGAAAAACCCAAGGGGGGGGTTCAGATTTTTGTTGTGCAGTTGGGCATTTTTTGGATTTCTTTTTGGTTTTTGCAAGGGAAATCGTTGGTTGGCTGCACTTTTTCCTCCTTTAAAGCAAAAAATAAATACATTGTTTTTAGATTGGTGTGCACAAAGTGGGTTTAAGATTTTTACCATGTAGTTTCTGGGTTAAGTTCCCAGAGTATGCTCCTTAATTGTGTTCATGTGATCTGCAGCCAAGGAAATTCTCAAATAATCTCCTAATGTATAAATTCTGAGACAAACCAGATAATTTTCTGCATAGTGAGTTACTTGTTTTAGAAAAAGCCATGGACTTTGAGCTCCTACCAAGGCTGCAAATAACTAACGGGCAGTCGCCGGTCACGTTGTCTGGTCAAACATGCTTTTGCTTGGACACTACCCGTTTTTGGCCGGTCAAATTTTAACAGTCCGAACTCTTGCCATAGTGAACCCAGATTGCACAGTAATCCTTTTACAACTAAAAAACAACTGAATCCAAGTCGGTCTAGCAATAAAAATTACAAGTTAATAATTTTACTATTCTTTACTACAGAAGCAGCCAAACAAACTCTCTTTTTATATATCTTGACTTTTTTTGTTTTCAGTACAACTCAGAGCCCTTTTTTTTAAGTTACAGTTGTGAATTTTTGTTAGAGGGAAAGAGTGGTCGGTTTCTACAGGTTTTGGGCCTTTTGCTCGCTTTTTGCACTTTGCAATAAATGCTACTTGGAGTATTCTCGATGCAGCGAGATTATTCTTCATGAGGGTGCTCAGTTTCCCATCATTCAATCAATCAAACAATCACTTTATTTAAGAATAAATTATGGTATCTAGCCAACGGTAAAACCCTCTACTAACTGGTAACACTTAAATAAAGCAAATAAAATAACGGAATACACGATGATTTGCGCATCGGTCGCGACAGGACTTGATGACATCGTGGAAATTTGCGACTGCCGGGAATTTCTAGACCACTAATTTGTCTACTTTTACATTCGTTTTTTTTTT